TGGCAGCTGAAGTTACAGGTGTTCCCTACTAAAGGGTCCGTGTGGCAACACAATACGAGAGGTGAATTATGTCCAATAACGTGTCACCACAGAGTATAGCATTAGCAAGGACAGTGTGTTTTGTAAAATGTGCCGGCATTTTAGAGAGAGAGGCGGGGCCGGCGGAGAAGATACATTCAGTCACCATGGTTACAGGGACTGGAAACACATCGACTATGCTCTCCGTAAACACGAATGTCATTCTAGGCATAGCCTATTTTTATTAGATTATTAACAAAAATCGCGAGAAAACATTTGAACAGGCCCAGCCGAAATTAGATTGGCCCACCCACAATTGAAATCCTGGCGCCGCGGCTGAGTTCTGAGTGTCTGTATTTGTCTTCAGTTCATCACTGGCAGACTTTTAATGGGAGCTGAGGTTGAACTTCCCAGGATTTGGGAAAAAATAACCTACAACATTGCAAAAATGTATGCCATATGCATTAACACAGCCGTAATGATTGGAAAATTCCAAATGAAAAAGCCAGAAATGTCCGTAGTAAGGCACAAGGGTCAAAGAAAACAGACGTAAGCTCTAGTGATGATCTAAGTTCTCTCCTCTCGATGTTGCAGGGTGAACGTCGAGGCTCTCTGGAGTTTATCCGCAATGAAACTGCCATCATCGACTTCAAGAAGAAGTTTGGTGATGACTTCTCAGAGGTCATGCCTGACATCACAGCGGACACGTCAGACGATCATGGTGCAATGTCTCCTATGAGGTGAGCAAATAATTAACCTGATTCACACATCAATCACATGAGAAGGCAGTCTATAAATACACCAACAAGTTCAACCAGAAATAACCTAATTACAAAACTCTTGAATTCCTTTCATTAGTTTTATTCAGTTTCAATAAATATAGATTATTTATAAATTGAAAACTAGCATTAAAAGATTTGGATTGAATATCTCCTTACATGATATCTGCTTAGACACTGCTCCCTGGTGAATAAAAGCAGTCACATCATCTGTTCTCACCCTTGGAAACAAACCATACACGTAGGAATGATCTTGCACAGACCATGCAGATCCAAATCTCCACAAGATTTGATGAAAACCATTAATGAGTGCTGTACTTTTGTGTGATAACAACTGACATATTTTATTCCTGCTGTAGAAGAGACCCTGTGCCATCGATAAGCCTGGAAATGCACGAGCAGACCATGAACGGTATGAGGGAGTCAGAGGACATCAACACTCACCACCTGCTGCAGCAGCACCTGTACAAGGGCAGGAAGCAGGTAGACATACTCAGTCTCATTACTATACACTGCATTCACAACAATAAAAGGATACTACAGCAATAAAGTATTGCACTTCCATATTGCTCTATGACTCACAAGAGTACATATTTTGTTTTTAAAGGAAGATTGGTCAAAATGAATGCTTCAGAGCAGAGGGCAAGATATCCAGATTTTAAGTCACTGCTAGCACCAGGAATGGGGTAGCCGTCATTTCCCATAATGCAACATAATGGCTTCATGCCACTTGCCATATAATAACTTTCCTACAAGCCCTGCCTGAGTTTGTCATGATCAGTTATTTTTTAAAGTGAGAATGATCAAATTGTCAAGTAAACTGAACTTGTTTTCTTATTTTGTGTAAAATCCCTTCACAAAAAATCGTATTCTCATATTCTCTCTCAATTTCTGGCGTGCAGCAACGCCACAGATACAGCCGTAGTCACTTCGACATCAACAAAGATGAGAATGAGGTGCAGGAGATCTTCCAGAGGACCATGAGGAGCCGTTTGGAGTCCTTTAAGTCCACGAAGATGGGCGTAGCTCAACCAAAGGCGATATCCAAGCACCCAAAGAAAGACCAGCAGCAGAAGGTCATTTCATTACATACTTGGGATTTTAGGCAATTGCCAAAAGGGCTAGGTATTGTTGCTGTTATTAATCAAATGGACAACATGATTATATTTATTAAAGTATTCCAAAAATGTACACTAAATACAAATACAGCCAGCCCTAACAGTACAAATGTGTGTTTTATTGATGTACGTTTCACATTTTGTAACTTATTTTCAAGTTGTTATTTAAAGATAAACTGATTATTCTACCTCCTGCAGATGCCAAATGGAAAATCAAGGGACAAAAGTAAAACCAACTATTCTGGTGATGAAGGTTTGTTTCTGTTTTAATTTTAAAGGAACTTGTTATATGCCCTGAAGCCAAAGCCCAAGTGTTTAATGAAAACCTTCTTTTTGAAAAACTATTTTTAATGTTTTTTCTAGATTTTGAGTTCTCAGAGGGAGACAACGCCTCTGGCTACGAAGCTTCAGGCCATTCATTCCCAATGAGGGTCACCTACAGGGCAGGAGGTAAATAAACCCATTATCTATTTCACTTATCTTTAACCTGTGATGGAAGAACTACTAAGAGTACCAATACAACTTGTTATAAATAAGCTATTACATGTAAAATAAATTCAGTCAAATTCGTATATATACTGCATATATATAAGTATTTAAGTATTATTAGCAAAAAATACTTAGAGTATTGTTTTTCAAGCGAAAATACCCGATTTGAATATATACGACAATAATAGAATTTGAATAAATCTCCAAGTCTGGAAATATTTTACTGTTGTAGATGCCTAAGTTTGGATTAGTTTAAAATACTTGTACAGTTAGGTATTTTAGAGTTTTAAATAGTTGGATAAGAAGGAATTAATAAAGTTACACTGCATGAATGTTTTCCAAAAAATTAAATGTCTTATAAGCTTTGCGACTTTTGTCACATTTTTTAGAAGTTAACCTCTTGTGGGCTTCAAACTGTTGAGGGAAATCCCTCTTTGGTAAAAGTACCATTAACTCCTTTTAAATAGGATAGGGGCCGAACTAGACAGTTGTACATAAGCCAAAATGTTGGCAAGCACTGTCTTTTAAATACTTTCTAATCAATAAAAGGTATCAAGAGGTTTTACAAATTAAAATATGAAATACTCAAGTAAAGTAGAGCAGTTGAGCAAATGTTCTCTCCACCATTGTATATCTCCCCCAAACCCTGTCAGCACTAATCAGTGTCTCCCTCTGGTGCAGCTGGAATAGAGAACCCGGCCTTCATGCCAGACCTGGACCCCCTGGCCCCGGTGCAGAGCCTCCCCTGGTTGTTGGAGTCGGAGCTGGACAGCAGCAGGGTGGCCCCCTCGCAGCGGGCCCAGGTCCGGCTGCCGCGGGGGCCCAGCGACCTGCGCCGTCTGGCCCCTCCGCGCATCAGCACCCGCTCAGACGACTCCTTCCTGGAGGCCGACGTTCCTCTCACGCCTCCACCCCCAGCCACG